CGGGGTACTTGGTGATCGCTCTGTGGTCTTAACGTTTAGATTTACTCCTTTCTTAGTGCTTGGAGAAAGCTTCATCATTTAATTATGATTAAGTTTTTTTCTTTAAAAAAAAAAAACAACCATTTCCTTATAGCAACTATCTGGAAATAAGCGTGGTTTTCTTCCTGTGTCTTAATGACCAATTTCCCAAATAGCAAGTGGCTTCCTCCAGTATTGACATGGAAGGTTGCAAGCATGTGTGCAGATTTCAACCAATCACCGTGTCCTGCATTACAGATTCCATTTGTATTTGTGTTCAAGTTATGCCCTCATTTTGCTAAGGGGGAGCATCCTTAAAATGACACTTGAGGTTTTTGCTAGAACTCGTGTACGCTTTGGCTTTGCCTTGGCTTTCTGGTCTGGTGCGTTATTCTGGGCTCACGCCAGCAAGCAGGGAGCTGTGCGCTGTTCCGCTGCTTCAGGGGTCCCTCTGGGGCCTCACAGTAGACTCAACCTTGGCAACAGGCCCATCACTTTATTTATTCATTTATTTATTTATTTATTCATGTGTTGATTTATTTTTGTCAGTCGTGGGTCTTGAACTCTGGGCCTGGGCACTGTCCCTCAGCTCTTCAAGGGTAGCGCTCTACCACTTAAGTCACAGCGCCACTTCCGGTTTTCTGGTTGTTAATTGGAGATAAGAGTCCCACAGGCTTTCCTGCCCTGCTGACTTTGAACCGTGATCCTCAGATCTCAGCTTCCTGAGTAGCTTAGATTACAGGTGCGAGCCACCAGTGCAGTTCTATCACTTAAAAAAATAAAAATAAAATGTAGTCTGAATTCTTACAGATTAAATGACCCCTCCTTTCATCTGTATCTCTTTTCTGCCATACTAAAACTCCAGTTCTTAACTTTTTTTATATTGTATAAATCAAGAAGAAGAAAAGAATAACTCATTCTTGGAGTCTTTCCATTAGGAGATCATTTGAAGCCTATGGGTGTTTGCCATCGAGTTTATTTACAGTGGACAGTAAGTTTCAAAACCAGACTTCTTCATGATTTGTCATCATCATCATTGTTATCATCAGCCTTATGAATACTGTGCATCTCTTACCTTACACCTGAGGGAAACAACGTATGTCATTAGATATAGATAGATAGGTACATGGATAGATACATAGAGGCATAGATAGATGACAGATACATAGATAGCTATATAAATGCATAGATAGATAGATAGATAGATAGATAGATGCATAGACAGACAGACAGATTCACTATATCCTATATGTACACACAAGATTGTGGAGGCTTTTGAAGGACATTTCAACTCAAACTTTCCTACCAAACTATTAAAATGATGAAATGAATTGGAAGTTTATAGAGGTTGATCCCTGTTCTCTGCCCAGGCCCTAACATGATACATTCTACTGTCAACTCTACACGGTCAAGAAAGGGATGGAATGGCATAGTTAAAACAAAACAGCTTAATATTTCATCCTTTAAAAAAAAAGAAGAAGAAGAATACATGTGTTTCTTGTACTGTATCTCTGGTCCACAGATCTGTAACAATTTGGGCTAAGTAGGATTCCATGTATTAAGATGTGCTGAAATGAATTTCTCCCTCCCAGTGCAAGAGAAAAAAACAGCCACACATCGCAGTGCCCCAGATTCTCCTTCCTGAAGCATCGGGATAGGCAGGCGCCACCCACAGACTCCCAGGATGCACTGCGGGGCCCATGCAATTCTATATTCTGGCCAAAATGGTTTGGCTACAAAGAGAAGGCCCACCTCAACGCGCTCAAGTCGAGGCCCGTGGCTTGCCCTACTTCCAGTTCCTCACCCTCAACTTCTCAGCCTTTGATGCTGATTGCCAGTGGCATCACAACCAGCCTGGTCCGCTCGTCCTCCCTGGCTCCCACGCCTCTTCCCTTCCTCCTTTCTCACCTCCTCCTCCCCTGTCCTCCCTGCCAGCCGGTGACCTTCATTTGCACCTCATGGAGAACACAGAATCACCGCCCGCGGAGGACACACCACATCTCCCCACCGACCAGCACCCACACCCACCGCCACCTGCCCCCTGCCCCTGCCCCTGTCATCTTCCCATCCGCCCGCTGAACACAAAGGCAGATCCTGAGATCCCCAAACCCAGGGCGAGCCACGGAGCTGCTGTGTCAGAGTCTTTGCTGCGTCGGGCGGAGTGGAAGCGTATGAAGCACATGCTGTGCTGACACAAGCCAGCGTGCGTTCTGTAAAGCTCTGATGAATTCTTCCCGACTCCCCCAGACCACACAGCCGCCCCCCCACCTCACCGTGTCCATCTGTCTGCGTGAGCAGGAGGGACTGACCGTCACCCCACACACACACACATGGGTGCCCAGCCAGCCCTCCCTCAGATGCCCCATTCCAGCCCATCCCAGCTTCCTGTGTTTGCCACTTTCCCACTCGAGCCTTGGTTATAGATTTAAAGAATGCATGCTGCTGCTTACATAAGGACTCACGGTGAGTAACAGAAATAGGTTCCTTCCCAGGTAATTGTCGAGTGTCGCAGGGCTTCTCGAACGGCCGTGTGCGGGCAGGCGCAAGCTCGGGGCCTGAGAGTGGCGGCACTGTGGTTTCTCTTTATTACGATCACCAGGATCTGTCCACTTTGAACCATTATATTTCTTTTTTATTTATTTCTGTATTTATTTAGTATCTTTGTGGGGCTGGTATACTGGGGTTTGAATTCAGGGCCTCACACTTGGTAGGAAGGCCTCTTCCATGGAGCCCCTCCTCTGACTCTTTCATGTGCTAATTGTTTTTTATGTTTGTTTTCAGTTTTATTTATTGTGAAGATGCTGAACAGAGTTCCCTGAGTAAGGGAATGAGTACATATTTTGTTGAGCATTGTTCCCCCCCCCCCCGTTCCCTCCCCCACCTCCCTCACTCCCCGCCCTCAGAGTTGTGAAGCTGAATTCCAATATACTGTCGTGTGGGTCTCATGGTTGCAGTGGTCAGGCTGAGTCCTTGGTTCAGCGTTTTTGAGACAGGATGTCATCCTCTCACCAGGTGCGTGCCTGAGACCACGTGATCCCCTAGTTCCAGGCTTCCCCTTGTAGCCGGGATGGCCGGTACAAGCCACCAGCGTTGACCTCAATCCATTGAGATGGACCGTCACAGACCTTGCTGCTCAGGTTGGCCCAGAACCACCATCCTCTCAGTCTCAGCCTGCCGCGCGGCTTCAGATGAGATGGAAGTCATGGAATTTTCTGATTGGGCTGGCCTCAAATGCCACGGACCTCCTAACTCCAGCCTCCCAAAGAGCTAGAATGCCAGGAAGGGGCAGCGGCTCTGGGCTTCACAGATTCTTGAACCTTCTGCCAGAGCCTCCGACCTGCATCCCTTCACTGAGCGAGACCCCAGCTGACCCCGTGGCCCAGAGGGGCTGTGCGGAATGGGCTGAGGTGGAGAGGCCGAGGCCAGTTCCTCCTCTCATCCCTTCGCCAGCCCTTATTAGAAAGCAGATGGGTTGGTGTCACAGTTGACGGCGTTTTATTGCACAGCTGCGCGCGTCTCCTTGGCCATTCAATTGGCCTCGTTAATTTAAACATCTTCCATTATCGCCGTTGAGTTAACGTGCTCTACCGCGCGACTCTACCCGCCTCTCACCAGGGAGCATTATTGCATTGGAGTCGTGGTCTTGGCTCCCTCTGGGGATGATGGTGGTAGATCAGTTTCCAAAAATCTCTCCCTGCAGAGACCGCCATTACCAGCATGAGCTGAGCTCACGGGCGACACTATATACTACAAGTCACCAGAGTCCCGTTTCCCTCCACCCCTCTCAAATATATTTCGTCCGGAGACCCTTTTTTGTCATACGTGTTTGGAGATAATATTCCTTAGAGTATTTCCTTAGAAATCCAGATTTACTAAGAGTTCCTCATGACTACGTAGAGGAGCCACAGAAAAGTTGAAGTGGAGAAGGCTGCACTTTCTCCTGCCCTGCTTTGCAGCATCCGTGCCTCTGCCCACCCACGCCACCCAGCTCTCCAGGCGCAAAGGTTCTCTCCCCGCGTATTGTACACTCATTCACACACCGGGTGCCGTTTACTTCAGGAATATTGGAGTTGGGGCACAAGAGTAAAATGTTCCCGGAGTCCTTGTCGGGGACCGCTTACAGTCAGTGGGGTATGCGTTGTTCACTGCAGTGAGGCGTTTGCTGAGCACTTACGAGCTCTGCGCTCCTTTGCTGAAATTCCCCCCACACCCATGGAATGGAAGTACCCTCATTCCAAAGAACCATTATTATCATCACACCAGAGCATTATTCTGTGTAATGAATGTCTTTAAAATACAGAATCCTTTCCCCAGAGAGTATGTCCAGATGGGTGGGTGTTCTAGGCGATGAACGCAGTATTGTTGAATGAACGGGAGCATAGCCCTCAGTACGCTGCGTGTACTATATACACCACGTGTTCATGTCTACTCCTCTGAACTATTGAAATTATGCTTTAAATTAAATGGGATACAGAGCCAAGCTTGGGGATGGTGTACATGAGTATTGAACAAAGAATGATTCCTTCGTGATCAGTTATTTTCTGGCACAAAACCCAACTACTTTATAATTAAACGATTCCATATGAGAAAGGGATACTTGATAGCCTTCAACACTACACTGATGGTTTGATTTTTTTTCTCCCTCTCAGGATACCATCTAGATTGATACTTGATAGAGTAAGATTCATAATCAGATATTGCCGCGTACGTACAATCTAGCTTGCTGTGATGATGTCATCGCAGTTGATAGCGGGGAACGTATACCCGGATTACACCCCGCTGTGCCTCGCGGGAGGAGTCTGACCACCCTTCCCTTGAGAGTCGTGGGGTGAGGTCTCCAAGCCCCGACCCACGTGGAGTGCCCAGGATGTGGCTGAGCCCCTCGCAGCCCTTAGCCATAGCTTCTGCGGTGTGTCCCCTTCATCTTCTAACCGGTGTCCTCTCCGTCCTGTGTCTGTGTCTGTGTGTCCTTCCTGTCACAGATGGGTACACCACCGATGACATTGAGTTTTACTGGCGAGGCGACGACAACGCCGTCACCGGTGTCACGAAGATCGAGCTCCCGCAGTTCTCCATTGTGGACTACAAGCTCATCACCAAGAAGGTGGTGTTCTCCACGGGTGCGTAGCGGGAGCCGGGGGAGGAGGCGCACGTCAGTGCGGGGTGTGCCCCGCGGGGCTCGCTTCCCTCGGGGGGCGGGGGTGTCCTGCAGAAGAGCCATCTCTCTGCCCCACGCCCTGCCTCCTCCTAGGCCTGGCTGCACTCCGAGCCCAGGCATACACCCCCAGGCACCCCCAGAAAAGCTGAGAGGCCCATCTGCCTCTCATTCCCCAGAGAAGGCCTTCATGTGGAGAGACAGACAGAAGGAGAAATGCAGAGTTGGGTCACAGCTGACCCCCACCTTCGAAATGACCTTGGGGACACCAAGTCATGTTTCCCTCAGAGAGCAACAACTTCTCTCGATTAACCCCCCCATTCCCAAGCTAAAACTCCTTCCAGATGTTAACGGTCTCATCCTGTGCTCCTTTGGCCAGCCAATTTTACGTTGCCAGAATTCGTTTGATCTTCATGTTTTTAAACCAAAAATATCCCATCAGGCACTCTCCTCTGCCTCTAATATAGTGAATAAAAGATAGCATGCTTTAAAAAAAAAAATCACCAAACTTCTTCATGTTCTTCTGGTTAGAATGAATCCCTCGAGCATAGCAACAGCTAAGACGGTAACTCGGTTTAGAATTGCCTCTTGCTCTGTAGTTATAGACCCCTTCTAGTAAGCTAGCACTGGACCTAGTGAACATTCAAGCTTGCCTCTTGTTTCAAATTTTTCCTATGTGTGAGCTGCTCTAAATATCTAAAACTCCATGTATATGAGTTTCTACTTAAAGAATCCTTCCTTTATCAGGCTTGGTAGTACATGCCTATAGACCCACCCCAAAATATATACATACAAACATACATATATATATATATATATATATATATATTTATTTCATAGTAAGATACTTAGACACTTGGCATAGCTCAAGAAGACAGCCCAGGCTTTCATTTCAATACCTAGAGCATCCTTCCAGATTGTTTACCAAAATGAACTTTTTATCACGAACTTTTAAAGACTGCACTGACTTCCATGTCTCATCTGAAGGATGGACTTCGCAGCTCTTAGCCCACCAGAGAATCTGGAAACGAGGACATGTCCTCTCTCTCCCCCATGTCTGTCACTGTCTCTCTGTCTGTCTGCCTGCCTGCCTCTCTCTCTCTCTCTTTCTCTCTCTCTCTCTCTCTCTCTCTCTCTCCCTCTCTCCACATTCAACAAGCACATACATAACTTTTGAACTCAGAACCTTGTGTATGCTAAGCATATGTTCCTTGAGTTACTCTCTGAGCAGGAACATGTGCCTTTGGTTGTTTGTCCCAGGAATATGGCTCCAAAGCATTGATTCTCTGCCTTTTAGTGTGTCAGGGATCCCTTTAGCATTCTGATGAACATAATATTAAGAATGAAAAGTTGCTTACAAATGACAAACCCACATACATCTCTCTCTGATCTCACCATGATCACAGAGTTGTTTGTTTTTTTTAATCCTCCTACAGCTGGAGAAGAGATTTCTTTTTTTCTTCCTTCCTTCCCTCCTTCCTTCCTTCTCTTTCTTTCCCTCTCTCCCTCCCTTTCTCCCTCCCTCCCTCCCTCCCTCTCTCCCTCCCTCCCTCCCTTCCTTCCTTTCATATGATCAGAGCATCTGGCTTTACAAGAGAAATCTTGTAAGATGAACTTCCTGGGAGGGGTTATGCCAGTGGAAAAAGCTAGCCGAAGCTTTCCAGTCCTCTCAGGAGGGAGTGGGTCACAGGGAGTGTGGGCATCTGTGATGTGGCGGCCACACAAGACTGGGCAGACCGAGCAGGGATTGTCTGAACTGCTGTGGGTGCATGGTAACTGCTGCTCTTTGAAACCCCAGGGCTGTAACACTCCATATGCAGAAAATAAATATCCTTCACCCCAAGCTAGCATTGAATGGAGGGAAGATGTACAAAGTGTTTATGGACCTTAAATGGAGCGTATCCTATCAATATTGATTAATGATGATGTTCTGAAATTGCCTTTCTAGGTTCCTATCCCAGACTGTCCCTCAGCTTTAAGCTGAAGAGAAATATCGGCTACTTCATCCTGCAAACGTACATGCCCTCCATCCTGATCACCATTCTCTCCTGGGTCTCCTTCTGGATTAATTACGATGCCTCAGCAGCTCGTGTGGCATTAGGTAGGCATTGGGTAGTACTTGTGGAGCTCACCTTTATGCACGCATGTGTGTGCAGGTGCATGCGTGCGTTGTGTGTGTGTGTGTGTGTGTGTGTGTGTGTGTGCGCGCACGCACGTGCATTCCTGCCCTCACACCCTCTCCTTACCCAGGAATTGGTGATGCATGTCGACTCCACAGAGTGGAATCCTGCCACTGTGGGTGATCTGATTCTGCATTAAATCAATTAAGCACGAATTAAAGCGCCTTCATGTCAGAATTAGTTGACCATATAGTTGTTGGACTTTTATTGAGACGCGTTTCATGTAATATTGCTTGTGTAATTGTCCAGTGTGTGTGTGTGCGCCTACACCTGAGCGGAGGCCCTCCCCCCCCCAGCAGGAGAGAAGGGTTGTGCACTCTGACACAGGAATGAGTCCAAGCTTCACTGGTGTTTTGGCATAGGCATAGCATGTAGAAGACAGGAGGACATTGCTTATAATATGCCTGATTTCTTTTCTCCAGGCACCTTAAACACTTGCAATTAACTATACATGAATCACTTCATGAACTTTTACATAGCCTTCATTATTTTGGGGTCATACTGTGCCCTTTCAAACGCTGAAATGCGGATTTGTATTTTTTTTATTTTTTTTTTGTTTTTTGTCGGTGGTGGGGCTTGAACTCTGGGCCTGGGTGCTGTCCCTGAGCCCTTTTGCTCAAGGCTAGCGCTCTGCCACTTTGAGCCACAGCGCCACTTGCTAAAATGTTGATTTTCTTTCAACCATGGAGCTTTAGTTCAGTCATAACTCCCTGAGAAAAAATCATTGACTTATTCATCCAGGGAATGTTGAATACTTCCTATATGCCAGCAAGCCTAGCTACTGCAGATATACCCACGCTCTTCTGGGAGCTTGCGTCTAACAAAGGAAGCTAGACAAGAATTGAAGGACTGTGTAATGATGCCATAGGGTAGATATGGAGATCAGTCCAGACAGGGGGGCTTGACAGGAGAGGGGGCGTTAGCCTAACCTTGGCTGAGCTGCTCAGCACTGGCTGGAGCCAATGCTTCAGGAAGGTGAAGAGCCTTGTTCCTATCCAGAGCAACCTGTTCCAGGCTGCAGCACAAAGATTCCAAGTGAGGAACCTGCCAGAAGATCCGCAGGGGGCTAATGAGGGCAAGATGGAGTGCGCTCAGGGAAGAGGGAGTGGAAGATCACGAATGGGGCTGTCAGCCGTGGTAATGGTGGTAATGGTTCGCTCTCATTCCCCATGAAATGGAGAGACTGAGCAAACAAGGAGCACGCTCTGATCTCAGATCGAAAGGGAGACGTGGCCGCCCCTTCAGAGTGGGTGGTGATGGCTCCCTGGTGGAAAGGAGCAGGAACGACCTCCAGGATGGCGTCAAGCCGCGCACTAGGTACGCCGAGAGTCCGGCGGCCGCGCCCGAGTGCGGGGCGGCCGCGCCCGAGCGCAGGGCGGCCGCTCGCTCGCTCCTGCGGTGGTGCTGGCTGCTGCATTGTATCTGTAAGGCCTCGCGAGAGAGATGGTGTTGGGTAAATTTTTGCTGAATGAAGGGAACAGTATAATTTGCTCATTTCCTAGTCTGCCCCTTACAGGAGTGATAAATCGTTTCCTAGCTTTAAAAAAAAGAAATTTCTAAAAATCTATTTTATATGAGCCATTATTAGGTTCAGAAACACTTTAAAATGAGATTTTTTGATCAATAATTATAAAATAACAAACCCAGCATGGTCCGTTTTCATGTGGAAGTGGTGTGGATCATGGGTAATTAAATGATGAAGAGAAAAATGAAATTGGAAAATGTCACCAAATGCTTGTGATCAAGAACACACAGACGAACTGTAAAACACTTGAAAGCAAAGCCAAGGGACAACTTTATATTTTCTCCAAATTCTCATGAGGACATATTTTTTAAAGCGATTATTGCTTATTAGAGCGATAAAATGAAGTCAGAAAACTACACCGACAAGATGACATCAAAGTGGAATTTGGCTTTGGAGATCTGCTGTTGGGTAACAAGCTGAGAGGTCCCTAAGTCAGCTTCCTGTCTGGGTGATGCTGACCTCTGAGCTGTCTCCTTTTGTGTCGCTCTTTGCTACAGAGATGGACTTGATCACACTTTGGACTGGCAGTGCCCTCACCTTCCAATTAAGCTTTGAGAGCAAGTACTCCCCACAGCCACAGAAACCAGCTCATCTGGGCATGTGATTACAGCCTGACCTCACATAGCACTTCCTACGAAAACTCTGATAATACTGGATGTTATTTTATCTGGCCACTGTGTGCCCAGCTGCCCTGCTCAGAAATGTGGCAGCTGTAACGCTGCCTTCTCTCTCACCCTCCACTTCCATTTTCCAAGTGTTGGCCGTACGTCTGACCCCTGTCGTCTGTATAACGTACACACTCAGCCCTGTGGCTGTTACTTTAACTCCTTCCCCTCCATCATTTGCATGAGTCACCCTGAAGTCCTCTGACCTGGCACCTGTACCTCTTGTCTTGAGCCTTTCTCCCCCGTCCTCCATACCACTGTCCAAAAGACTGTCCTAAATTCAGTCTGTCCGGAGTCCTCTCTGCTGAAAGCTGGCCAGTACTTCACATTGGCTTTAATTTGGAGTTTAAATGCCCCCACTGTGATCCATCGCACATGGCCTTGTCTTACTCGCTACTTTCCTCTGATTCTTTCCATCTTATTCTATCATGTATCTGCTATGCTTTTTTTTTTTAGATCTCTTTAATGAGCAGTGAACTCTCTCCCCAATACAACCTTTATGTGCAATTTTCTCCACCCCACAGTGGCCAAAGGCCTACCATGGCTTTTGACCTCCAGTCCTTGGCTGTCTGTTCTTCAGGAGTCAGGTCAAAGAATCTCCACGTCCTGATCTGGTCCCTGCCACATCACTTGAATCCTGTCCATGTTGGTCCATCTTACCCACAGCCCACCACAGCATCTAAATCACAGTTCTAGTCCCCACTGCATATATAATATACAAAAATATAAAAATATACTTAGTGGAAAATTCCAAAATGATTTCTACTTAACTTGTAAGTGATTTTGTCTTCAGGGACAATCACAGGACTGGAGTATAATGTGCCCAATATATGTATATATGAGGAAAGTTAAACTTCCCAGCAATGGTGAGGACAGAAAGGAAAGCAGAACGTTCTGTAGTCTTAACTTTTTCATTTGTTTTATTCTTGCAGGAATCACAACTGTCCTTACAATGACCACCATCAATACCCACCTCCGGGAAACCCTCCCTAAAATCCCCTATGTGAAGGCCATTGACATGTACCTCATGGGGTGCTTTGTCTTCGTGTTCATGGCCCTGCTGGAGTATGCGCTGGTCAACTACATCTTCTTCGGGAGAGGACCCCAACGCCAGAAGAAAGCAGCCGAGAAGGCTGCCAGCGCCAACAGTGAGAAGATGCGCCTGGACGTCAACAAGGTCAGTTGTTTCTGAGACTCGAGGTGAATGCTGGCGTTGTGGGCCCAGGGCCTGGGTTTGCTCATGAGGACACCAAGGGCCAGGGAAGGGGATGGGCAGCGTCCCCAACATGACACAGATCATGAGCATACGCAGAGCCAGGACCAGGGCACCTTTTCCATAACCGCAGGGTTCCCCAAATCTTCATTACCTTCATTACTCCTACCCCGATGATTGTTTCCAACTGTGAATATAAGTGAGTCTTCCTTTGTAGAATTTACTCACTTAAACTTAGTTAGAAAGGAAACTTTGTGTCATTCTTCTCAGTATTATATGGTGGAAGGTAACCTTAAATACAGACAAAAAGCTGAGCCACCAAACTCTATACTAAATGATGGGCCTCATGCTCTCTGACTCAGCAGGGAAGTAGGCGACTATGGGTGTGTGCAAAAGCACCACCACCAACAAACTGAGGCTGTCTCCCAGAAGCAATCAGCAGGGTAGAAAACAAGGAGGTAGAATAGGTAAAACTACCATTTTCTCAAGCAAAACAGTACTTCTTAATTCCTGAAACGTGTCCCACTGATCTCTGAAGCCCCTGCAGTAGGAGGCTGCCACCTAGCCATCGGCAGGTATAGTTAGAGACACTGTGCACCACGCCAACCCTGTTCATTTTTAAATTATAATTCTGATGTTACTCCTAAGGCATCTTACAGAGGGGTTACCATGTCATACGTCAGGCCATGAGTATATTCCCTCTTCTGGGTTTGTTGTTTTCTTTTGGACAGTGTCTTGTTCATTTTTGAAGCTAATAGCACCCACAATTATGTCCTGCAGAAAATTTAAAATATCTACTGAAGCCTAGGTCCCTTCTTCAGACTTAAGCGTCATACATTTTAAATGTTTGCTAGCTTATTCTTATTTACAAGCAAGTTTAAGAATCATTACTGGTTGGACAGTGGTCCCAATGGAGCTAACCATGTTTACTCCCTAAATATAACTTCACCTGACTTCCCGCACTAAACAGGATAACTGTGTGTCTGTTTTCTCATAGTCTAAATATAGACCCTTTGAAATAAAGACTCCATTTAATATCTGTCCCATGAAGTACTACATAATAACACGTATCATTGGGTACAATAAGCATTCGTAGTAGTGAGCGTAGGAAAACAGCTAAAATTATTAACCATAATAATACTTGATTAGTTCGTAAACATTTTAATATTTGAACTTTGGTGTATTTCCAAAGATAGTGCACGAATCTTCTAGCACTGATATTTATTTGGAGCAAAGCTGCTGGAAGATTCTCGCGTGCTTGCTTGTTTCCCCGTATCCATGGGTCTCATGCTTGGTTTGGGACTAATTTTAATTAAAACCACTTCTTTCTCAGAAGATGATGTTTCTAATGATACGGATAGGTTTCCCTGGGAAGACAGGAGACCCTGGGATCTAGGAAATTTCTCATTTCTTTCGAGTTCCCATGTTGGCAAATTCACCCTTTGGAATTGTAGGTTGTCACATAGCAGCAACAGGCTGCCTACTTTTCCAAGTCTCAGGCTGTCAGTGAGAAGCTACCTCCTAAGCGTACCTCATGCATTTCCTGACAGGCCAACCTGGAGAAAAGAAGAAAAAGCACATAAAAGCAGTTAGAGAGGCTTTCAAGAGCTGCCTAAGGCAGGGCCAGCTTAATGAAGATAATAGCTCAGCTTTTTCCTCTTGCACCTACCCTATTTTTCATACCAAATGTTCGCTTAAATAGTAAGTTTGAGATGTGGCTGGTGAAGATTTCACATCAACAGAACAGGAAACCTTTAGATCATCCTAATTCCGAAGTTTCAGATCGTTGTGAATGCACCAGGACCGAGATGGAGGTACAGAAGGGTTGGCTGCAGGGATGTCATGTTTGTGAAAAGCTGAGCCTTCCTGACCGAGGAGGCCGATGCGGACTGGGTGGTAGCCTAGGGAAGATGGAAGGCGACAGTGGGGAGCTCTGAGGGCGGTAATTCTCAGAGCAGAGAGGATTTTTCTCTCCCAGAGAATTCAGAGCAGCCTCTGCAGACATTCGTTGGTTGTCAGATGAGGAGATGGCCGTTGCTATGGGCAACAGATGTGTGGAGCCCTGGATGAGGTTACACACGGGACAGTTTGCCATACAAAAGACATGCCCAGCCCAAAGCCTCCAGCTCCCCAATTTCAAACATGAGGAGCCTGGGCGCAGAGAACATTCATGTGTTCATGTCATTCTCTTCAACTGGGGTTTGTTTTTGGACCAACATGTACGATAATAAAAATAGCAGGAGTTTGACAGTCCTAAGTCATTGTTTTGGAGTCAGTCCGGTTCAGTATTTTCCCTCTCACTAAATAGCTGCGTGACAGTAGACAAAGTCAGCTTGTCTGGCCCTTTATACCTCATCTGTAAACTGGTGTTAATTCCTGTCATGTTATTAGGGAATATAAAATTACAGCACTATCACACTATAAGAATAGGGTGAAAAGCCAGGCTCCAATGGCTCACGCCTGTAATCCTAGCTACTCAGGAGGCTGAGATCTGATGATATCGGTTCAAAGCCAGCCCGGGCAGGAAAGTCCATGAGACTCTTATCTCCAATAAACCACTAGAAAACCGGAAATGGCTCTGTGGTTCAAGTGGTAGAGCGCTTGCCTTGAGCTGAAGAGCGCAGGGACAGCGCCCAGGCCCAGAGTTCAAGCCCCACAACTAACCCCCCCCCAAAAAAAGAATAGGGTGATCATGTGTAAGGCAGGTAGCAGAATCCTCAGCACATACAAAGTGCTTAGGAAGTGGGAACTGCTAATAAAATATTAAAGTTAAACACATAATTGATTTTAAGATAAAACTTGCCCCCCACAAGCCTATTGGAGGATGTTTGCTTATATATTTTCTATGGCGTGCATGTAAAATGAAGCCATACCACAGAGGAGAGTGTTACCTAGAATGTAATGTAGGTCAGGAATTACAAACTTGAAGTCAGGAAATCATTTTTCAGCGAGTGTTAGCAGTGAAATGGATAGCAGATGTTATCAGTTATTTCTGAGGACAGAATCTATATCGATATCTTGATTTGATTAAAACAGAAGGACATTCATGCCACATTCCAGATGCCCAGGGTCTCCTTTCCCGCCCCGCAGGGAAGGCCAGAAGAGCCACACGGGGCTCTGATTGTCTTGTGCTTCCTTTTGTGTCAGCGTCATGAATAATGAGAGTCTTATTTTTTTAATATCAAGAAGGCCTCTTATTTTCAGCTGTAATTCACAAGTAACTTCTTTTCAGAGATTGGGCGCATACAATCAGCCAAGTATTGTCTGCTATGGGGAAAAAAAAACAGCTTTCCTAGAGGAGGCTTGAATTTTTCACCTTTGAGAGTTTACTGGAGATGGAAGTGCCCCATCATCAAACTGTGCTCTGTCCTGAGGTCAGGGAAGGTTAAAAAGCATAAGCCAACCCAGGCGGGAGCCCTTGGGCATTCTATGATCCCCAACATATTCTTCTACACTGTCTTTTGGTAGTACTGGGACTTGAACCCTGGGCCTCAGCTAGAGAGACAGACTCAATTTAGTTGACTTTACTTCATTTATGAATGTCTGATCTCTCTCCACATGAAAGTCCTTACGTGTGAATTTCACAGTTGCCTTCACGTGACACATTGTCATAAAATACTAAGATAATGAAACTAAACTCAAATCAACATGAGCTATAGTGCATATTTATATCTATTTATACTGCATGTCTTCTGGAATAGTTCCAAACCGTAATCCTCACCTCCAAAGAAATAAAAGTAAAGATATACATAGTCTCTACCCACATGTTAGTAGATTCTTTATGTTGTCCTTTGCATCATTTGTGTGTCTGTAGGGCGTCTATGTGTGTGTGCATGTGTGTGTGTGTGCGTGCGTGTGCGCATGTGTGAGTGTTTCCAAATAGGATTTGCTTTGGATTGATTTCCTTCCCTCATTTTGTCCATACCTTCCATTGTTCCACACTTCTTCTTTAAAAAAAAATTATACTCATCTCTGATTTACTATGGTGCCAACAAACAGATACAAGCAAATATAAGCAGTAGATCAGATTCGAGACTGTAGTCACTCTGTCTACAACCTTTGGTGCACATTGGAAATGCCTCCAGGATCACAATCTCATTGATGTGTTAAGACAGCCACCCCCAGCGGTTTTCTAAAGCTGCTCCCCCAAACACCAGAGTCTGCATTCTGGGGAGCCGTGACTCGGTTGTCTTTCTCCATTGTGTCTAATCTCCACTGAGCCCTTCTCGATCTGTGTTTACTACCTGGAATTAAATTTTAAAATATACATGTTTAAAAAGTCAACTCATTAGTGTCCTCCCATTCTCCCCTAGCATTGGTCTTTGTGCTCTCTAAAGCCCAGTAGCATTTATCTATATCCTGTTAACTTGAACCCCAGCACGGCTCCAGTGCCATCAGTCGACTTAATTAGCACATTTTCTACTTTGTCTTCCAGATTTTTTATAAAGATTTTAAACCAAATGGGACCCAATATCCGTCCTTGTGGGACCCCACTGGAAACCTCTCCCCAGCTAGACGGACTACCAATTACGATTTCCCTCTCTATACGGTTAGATAGCCAGTTTTTAATCCATTTTGTTTGTGTTTCTGTTGGGACCAATGTGTTTAGCTGTTCCCTTTACAGGAATGTTGGGGCTCTTTGGCGATAATTTACGCGCATGTAACCACAGAGCTTTGTTACACACGTTGAGCGTTTTTATGAGTCCCTGGTAGAATTCTACCAAGATTGGTTTTTCGACATTGCTCTGGTGGACCTGGGTCTCAGTGTTCCAGTGAAGAACTATCGCTGTGTTAGAGAAAGGAGGCAAAGCGGGCGGCCTAGAGATGCTGCTTTTGGTTTGCAGGCAGAGGAGACAGTGTCATCACTCGCTGGCATTTCTTGGTTTTGTTGGAAGTGAATGCTTGTTTTCTTGCTTAGTTGAATGAAGAGGAAATTAAACATTGCTTCTACTGGTTGGCTGAGAATTCAGAAACATCTACTTTATGTCCTAAGTTATTATCTTGCGTCTAAGAACATGATACGTACATCAAATCCCTGCTGCTTTATTGTTATTTATTTTATGAGTAAATACTCTCCTAGCAGGCCCACCCCTATTAATGCAGTAGATAAGAAGCAATCATTGACATTTTTCCTTGCCAAAACTTGTGATTTAAATTAATATTAAAGATGGTCCTTTTTTGCTACTATTTAGAGCTTATGAGTCTTAACGTGTTCATGGCCTTAACGGGCAAGTGTGTCAGCCATATTGCTTTTTGACTTAGAGGAAGAGTATGACACTGATGATTGTCACCCCACCTTTCCATGCAGGATTTGTCTAAGTGCCGTTTTTGTTTCTCATTTCTCTTTCTTGGTGAGGAGAAGATAGTATTGATGTCAATGTTACCTCTGAGGCTGGAACTGCAGCTTTGCTTCCATGATTGTATCTGTTGGCTTCAGAATCCCTGGTATCTTGTTTTGCCTTTGGGTGAGGAGATAAGTGTGAATCGTCTATTAGGTGCTAGTTTGTTTGGGTGGTATAATGTTGTTGTTTTTTAATTTTATTACTAGTTATGAAATTTTTGGTGAAATGGCAACTATTACCGTTCCAGGAGGAGTCATGTTAGAATGTTTGCAAGTTGGTATTTTAGTCTTAATCTCTTCAAGTTTCCAGTGTCTACTCCGTGCAGGCTGGGGGGATATCTCATTTACGCAGTTGCTGCTATTCTGTTTTTAAGCTTGAGTTACTCATGCTGAAATTAAAGTAGATCGAATTGATTAGGCACTGTTTTGTGTAGAAGCAAGCGTGAATGGACGATGACATTTGGATTTCTGATTGAAATGTTTGAAGAGTTTTATTTTCAAAACCAAAGCAGAGTACAGAATTGGTCTAATGTCTGAATAAAGCCATGTAAAAATTCAGAAAATACACCGTGAGGGTATTTTGAGGAAAGTTTGTCTCAAATTTTAAATAATTTAACTGGTGGCTTAAAAGTTTGAATGTTCTATGATCGAATTATTAAGACCCTTATTTTTAAAGAACTCTTTCACTATTTTAGTGAGCATTGGGTTAAAGAGCTATGAATTTGAATGTCTTTGGCATTTATGCTTTTTATCTGCTGTGTCTTTGTTCTGTCTTTGAGTCTTCACTAAAGTCCCTATTCAAGATATGAAATAAGGATTGATATTCAACAGTTTAAATGATAAGTTTTTTAAAAATAACTGTGTACTCTATAAAGCATGACAATAATGACAGGCACTTGGAAGATGGGTAGATTTCAGAGTCAAAATGAAGTGTTGCCTTTATGAGCTGTGTGGCTTTAGACATTCTGACCTTTCAAGTTCCTCGACTGACAACTAAAAACATTAATTTCTGCCTTATTGAGCTACTGAGATGATTACATTAATGATCTTATGCACCACCTGGGAAAGAGCACTGAGTCATCGCCATTATTCTTGCTAGTAGGGAGTGTGTATCTTTCTCAGGTTTCTGATTATAAAACTATTTCACAATTGATAGATACAAAGGAAATAGAAACCACATGTAAGCCTGGTGCAGATCTTGTGAACAAGGCATTTTATTCAAACTAAAGTGACATTCTTCTCTTTAACTTATTTTAACTTACTCAACCTTTCTTATTTTTAAGTACACAGCATTTGTAATGGGAATATCTTATTGTGCATACCACAATTTCACATGTAAATAATGTACTCTTATTTGGAGTTGTATAGATTGTTTATAAACAATTTGCCAATATGAATAGTGATAAAATAAGCATTATATTGCTGAAATGTTTGCACATCTTCAACTCCTGGTATGTGTCATGGGTCCAGAATTTTGTGCCTTTTGAATGAAATGTTGAGTGCTAGAGGTATGGATCAAGTGGTAGAGCACCTGCCCGGCAAACCTGTGGCCCCATCAACTCAAATCAAACAAAAGAATGACAGGAAATGTTGATATTGGACAATATTCCCTCTTATTCCCAAAATGTCCCGCTCTATCTTGATACCTACTGGTACCCTAGCACACTGAGTCAGTGTGTACACACACACACACACACACACACACACACACATACACACAGCCATTCCACCACCCCACTTCTGAATATCAGGGGAATTGGTCATGTTCAACGGTGTCCACTTGTGTAAAGACAAAAGGCTCGAATGCCTGTGTTCAGTTTTCTCTCCATCCCAATGCCACAGAGAATAAAACAGCAGGAGGAATAGTACAAATGCAGCTAATACGCAGCAGAAATTGAGGCCCTGTGGAGAAGCAGAAATGCATAAGTCAATAATAACACAAGCAGAACCCAAAACATTCACCTATCTACCCGAGCTATCAGTGAGGAAATACGAAAACCCAATAGCGAGTTCTTCAACATGACTCGCAGTGGCTCACACCAGTAATGCCGCATACTTCAAGGCTGACACTGGAAGATGGCGGTTGAAGGCCAGCGCTGACCTATCTATTTAGCAAACCTCCATAGGCCAGGTATGGAAGTACAGGTCTGAATGAGATACATAGAGCTGGGAGTTATGGGATATATGTACTGTGACTGAATCACGGTTCAAAGTCAGCCCTAGGCAAAACCTCAAGACCTGAAACATAAAATAGAAAACGACTAAGTGGTACGGTACCTTCCAGGTGTTCCTGAGGCCATAAGTTCAAACCCAGTACCATCAAACAACAACAACAACAAAAGAATCTAAACAAAGAAATAATGTGACAACTATGAGAGAAAACTACCAAATGGGATTTAAGGGTAGACTCAAAAAAAAAAAGCAGATAGTGCCTTTTATTGAAGCAAAAAAATGTAAATTAAACTTTTTCCATAACTTTTTTCCACTAAACTCTGAAAGAGAATAGAGAGGAAAATCAGGAATAAACAAACAATAGGCCAAGGAATTTTTTTTAATGAAAACCCCTCAGCAAATGTTGCTGAGACCATTACAGTTCTGTCCTAAAACTCACAAGACTGACAGAGAATGGAATGAACCATCAGGTCCAGAAAGTTTCGACAGGAAAACCTGTAAAAATCACAGCTCCTCAGTGCTCCTGAAATGCCTCCAAGGTCGCAGCAGGAAAGAGAAACATTTTAACTGATTTGGAAACCCACATCAACACAAATATGCCCCCCATGCCATATTCCAAAACAGAAGTTGAAGCATTTGCAAGAGGGCCCTGCCTGGTCCCCTCCGCTGCCCACCTGCAAGCTAGCTGCTCAGGTGTTGCCGAGAAACTTCCTTCAACCCACACTGAACATTAGGCTGGGAGTGTGTGTGGGTGGACGGTGAGAAGGGAAAGCCTGGCCTGGCAGATTCTGTTGGGAGCCCAGCAACACACGCGCTGTGTGAGCTGTTTTTCTCCCTGACGTTAAACGGCATCCAGAGTTAAAAGCTCTCCTTTCTCTCACCAGTCCACCTGGCAAATGGAGATCTCCTCCCCGTCGCTCAAAAGCAAAGTATTCATAAAGCTGCCAAGTGCAGAATATTTGCAGGGAAATTACTTTCCCTGTGCAAGGTGCACACCTCTCTCCCGTTAGAGAAATGAGTTGCTACAAGGAGGAGGTTGGCAGAGAAGAAGGACTCTAGTCAGGCACCTAGAGCCCAGGTCATGGAATGTCCGGGAATGTGGGTGGGGGAAGGTTAGGAGGGAAGCGCTGGAAACTTCATGATACCTGTGGAAAGAGAGAATCCTAAAATAAATATATCAACACGAATCCAGAGAATACTGACAGCAAGCCGTAACGTGCAATGCTGTCTCCAACTAGAGGGCAATATTATTTATTAAATGTGCAAGTGGAAAGAGTGAAAAACATTTCATTCTTTCAGTAGACACCCAAAATCCTGTTAACAAAACAAGAGTGGCTGTAAATTTAAAATTCTTCAGGGAATTAGAAAGCAACAAATATTTTGTGGCCTTGGTCTCTATCATTGTCTTGACCCATCTACCTGACCAAAGGTTTTATCTCCTGCCTGTCTTCATTGTAGAACAAGCCACAAGTCTGGTGCCTGAAGACTGTAACCCTAGCTACTCAGGAGGCTGAAATCTGAAGGATCAGAGGTCAAAGCCAGCCAGGGCAGAAAAGTATACTAGGATTTATCTCCAATGAGCCAGCAAAAGACTAGGCTAGAGGCATGACTTAAGTGGTAGAGTGCCCAGAGTTCAAATATAAGCAAAGCAACAACAACAACAAAAAGAAGCAGTAGAATATGTTCAATTTCCACTGTAGAGATGCAAAGCAACATCTCCTTAACTTATACTGTGTTCCTGGTTCTCTAATAGAATAAAGCTGAACTAAAACTAAACTCTGTGGTACAAACTTTGCTAAACTAGATTATTTAAAACAGTCTTTAAGGAAAAGCATGCAGTCATTTTCAGTGTTAAACTATTCACCCTGTGAAACTTGAAATTAGCATGAGAAGCTAGTATCTTTGGTAAATAATTACTTCTTCCTTCCCTTCTTTCCTCTATATGTGTATAGATTTTACAGTATGTGACACTTGATAAACTCTTGGATTCTAGAAAACACAGGAGTAATTATCCTGGAGACAACTCAGTAAAACCT